GCACTACTTCTCTGTGTCCCCAGGATATTGATATGCCTGTCTTGTCCAGCTGACTTATCAAGATCCTTTCCTATCCAAGCTGAGGCTGATGCTTATGGACTGATCTCGTAGACCAGACTGGTGGTGACTTAGCCTTTCTCACTTGTGGGCAGCATCCGGTGTTAGTGGGGGTCTTCATTTTTCCATGATTCCAGCCTCCTCATGGCTGTTCAAGCGTATAGAGCAGTAATACAATGTGGTTTGTTTGGTTGTTTTTTTTTACCATCAACATCTAACTAAAAATTGGCAACAATTTATTTTGATTATAGATTGGTTTTGGTTTTGGGTTTTTTTGCAGTGCTCTTTACTTTTGTGTGTGTGTGTGTGTGTGTGTGTGTGTGTGTGTGTGTGTGCATCTTCACTGTTAATTTATGATGATGTGTTTCTGAGTGCTGCTAAAGCACAGAGATTGAAGGCAGTGAAGAATGAGTGAGATATCTTGCTAAATCACATAGTACCAGTGCTCTAGATATATTTGACTGCCTGCTGCTATCTGAATGACATTTACTGGGGTCAGTCTTGATACTTTGAGAGAAACCTTTTTCTCTTTTATAATGTGACCCTTGTTGCCAATAGGAGCCTTGAGTTGCATTCTTCTCCTCCAAAGAGTGATTATTAGTGATTGATTTTCATACTGGGCTTTGGAACCCTGGCATCTTTTTCTTCTTTTAAATTCAGATTACTGTGAACTCTTCTGATCCTCCATGATGACAGTAAGGGACATCTATCAGGTTAATGAGAAAGGGACAGAGGAGTTTTAAAGTCACTACCCAGAAGAGCTTTTTCTGAGAATTGAATCAGTAGTCTTATGGTGAGAAAAAACATGTATCTAAATCAAAAATATTAACTGGATAGGTTTCATTTTCTAAGTAGCCAGTGTAAGTTGGACGTTTTCAGTATTTTGAGCAGAGTTAGACTGATGTGACTTCTGTCAATGTGGATTTTGGATCCTTTGGGTTTGGGGCAATTGCATTTCTTTTGTACATCACTTAGCCTGTTATACTAAATAAAGTGTGCATGTGTTGTGCGCCCGCCACATCTTGTTCACCTTAGTGTAGTTCTCAGAACTGTTCATCTAGAGAATGTCAACACAGTGTCAGTTCTGATCTTGCTTTTTTACTTTGTTTGCCAAAAATTTTCAGACATCGTGGTATCTGACAGAATCATCCATCATAATTTTTACACTTAATCCTTAGCAAGGGAAGGAGAGCTCCTGTCCTTTAGATCTTCCTTTTTAGATTAGTCACACTAGTCATTTAATATTTTTGGCAATGAAGTAGCCAATGACTAGAGGAATTAGGGATGAAAGAGTTTGATGTCCTGAATGATCTTGCCAAGCTTGAAATTACAAAGTTTTTTTTTCAATAAGGAATTTTTGTTAACATAGAGTATAGAAGCTGTTGCGAACATATGCCAAGATCTATGATTTTACAGCATCATCTCAGTATCATCTCCTCTTCATCACAAAAAACAGAGGAGAAAAATCACACCTGTAGCATGTGGTGGTGATGACAGTTGATCATGAGATGTTACTGCCTTCTGTCCAAGGCAGGGGCGTATCATTTCGCTGTGAGCCGACTTTTTTCACTCTGTTTTCACAGATGACTGTACCTCATCAACATTGGCCTCTCATCCTTGAAAGATTTCACTTCTGTTTTATGCAGGGCTTTTGTACTGTTAGTTTACATTCGCACAAGACAATGCAATCATGTCTACCTCACCTTGTCCAAAGGTATGTTTTTCAATTTATCCAAAACCTGGAAGGAAATACATACTTAGTTACATGCTTAAAAATTGTTTAATGAGAAGATCCTTCAAAATCTGTAAGTTTGCCAGGATTTTTTTTCTTTTTTTGCACTGTCTTGGCAATTTTAACAACATTTGAAAGAGTCTATTTTCAGGAAATTCTTCCAAGTTTCTTGAAAAACAACATCTGGCAGAAAAAGCCAGACTTACGTTAACCACACTTCTAAGGGGTGAATTGTAGAGTTAGCTCAACTCTTTATCTCCTTGCTTTGGTCAGCCAAGAGACAAGTCAGCCAACAAGTTTGCAGCAGCCCACGTGCCAACAAGCTACCCAGAGCTGTGCAGCCCAGTAAGTAGCTAGCGGCTTAAACAGGAGCAAGAGTGGGTCCAGTGATAAGGCCTGATAATTGTACAGTGCGTGTGTGCCCCACCAACGCAGGCGGAAGAGGGATCTGGAGTTACCGCAGAACACGGGTAGCGTTACAAGCCCAAAGGGAACCCGGCTCTGTTAGACCAAGCGCTCTTAACAGCTTTATTTCTTCCCAGGTCTCTGCTGTTTTCCGGGAGCTTTCGTGACCTGCTCTGCGGCGCCAAGCAAACAGTACCTGCGTGAGCAACGGCAAGCCGGGCGGAGAGCCAGCGCCGGGCGAGGGAAGCACCTTCTCCCT